ACACACACACACACACACACACACACCAGTATTGGTTGTGTCCAAAAATGAACAAATATAGATCCAGTGTTGCTCTGGATACACCATTAAGCTATTCTAAGTTACACACTCTATATACTCCTAGGCCCTGTTTCAAATATGTTCTGAGACACCACCAAACAAAACAAAACAAAACAAAACAAAATCACAAAAAGCAAAACAAAAACACAGAATGCAAAGCAAAACAAAAAGCAAATCAAATCAAAGCAAAAACCACTAAACGCAAAGCAAAGCAAAACAAAACAAAAAAATGCAACAAAAACATAGCAAAAAAAGAACAGAACGAAAACAAAGAGCAAACCAAAACAAACAGAATAAAATAATGTAACGCAAAACACAAAAAAGCAAAACAAAACTACAGAAAGCTAAACAAAAATACAGAACAAAGCAAAACAAGCAAAGCAAGTAAAAAAACACAAAAAGCTAAAGCAAAGCAAAACAAAACAAAAAAGTAAAACAAAACAGCAAAACAAGACAAAACAAAAAACAGCAAAAGTATAAAAAGCAGAATGTAAAACAAAAAGCAAAACAAGACAGAACAAAAACAACAAAAAGCAAAATAAAACAAAAAAAAACAATGCAAAACAAGCAAAGCAAAACAAAACAAGCAAAACAGCAAAGCAAAACAAAAACAAGAAAACTAAACACAAAACAAGTAAAAAGCAGAACGAAACAAAACAAAACAAAGCCAAACAAATTCTGAGGCAAATAATTGGTCTGTGTACTTGTTTAATTGATGCAAAAGTACACAAGCCCAAATTCACAAACCTAAAAGTACACAAAGACAGTATTGCAGTCTGTTTTTTATGCCTGTATGAGTATTGCATTGTTAGCTTCACAACATACAGCAAACTCTAGCAGAATCAATGGAATAAAGCTGCCTGTGCGCTTCACATCTATCACTTTTAAGGCTCCGTTTCAGTAAGGATAGTGCCTTAAGGCCCCGATATACTTCAAACGAAATAGAAGAACGAAGTGAAATGACATCATTTCGAACTAAATCAGGCACACACACACACACACACACACACACACACACCAGTATTGGTTGTGTCCAAAAATGAACAAATATAGATCCAGTGTTGCTCTGGATACACCATTAAGCTATTCTAAGTTACACACTCTATATACTCCTAGGCCCTGTTTCAAATATGTTCTGAGACACCACCAAACAAAACAAAACAAAACAAAACAAAATCACAAAAAGCAAAACAAAAACACAGAATGCAAAGCAAAACAAAAAGCAAATCAAATCAAAGCAAAAACCACTAAACGCAAAGCAAAGCAAAACAAAACAAAAAAATGCAACAAAAACATAGCAAAAAAAGAACAGAACGAAAACAAAGAGCAAACCAAAACAAACAGAATAAAATAATGTAACGCAAAACACAAAAAAGCAAAACAAAACTACAGAAAGCTAAACAAAAATACAGAACAAAGCAAAACAAGCAAAGCAAGTAAAAAAACACAAAAAGCTAAAGCAAAGCAAAACAAAACAAAAAAGTAAAACAAAACAGCAAAACAAGACAAAACAAAAAACAGCAAAAGTATAAAAAGCAGAATGTAAAACAAAAAGCAAAACAAGACAGAACAAAAACAACAAAAAGCAAAATAAAACAAAAAAAAACAATGCAAAACAAGCAAAGCAAAACAAAACAAGCAAAACAGCAAAGCAAAACAAAAACAAGAAAACTAAACACAAAACAAGTAAAAAGCAGAACGAAACAAAACAAAACAAAGCCAAACAAATTCTGAGGCAAATAATTGGTCTGTGTACTTGTTTAATTGATGCAAAAGTACACAAGCCCAAATTCACAAACCTAAAAGTACACAAAGACAGTATTGCAGTCTGTTTTTTATGCCTGTATGAGTATTGCATTGTTAGCTTCACAACATACAGCAAACTCTAGCAGAATCAATGGAATAAAGCTGCCTGTGCGCTTCACATCTATCACTTTTAAGGCTCCGTTTCAGTAAGGATAGTGCCTTAAGGCCCCGATATACTTCAAACGAAATAGAAGAACGAAGTGAAATGACATCATTTCGAACTAAATCAGGCCGAAACGAAGTTCGTTTTGAGTTCGTTTTGGCAGTTCGAAACAGCTCACCAAAGCGTACTTTTTGGGGGAGTTTGTTTTGGCTTCTAAACACCTTTGAGCTACCATTGGTCCGTGGCGATTATGCAGTTTTTGTGTTCTGGAACTCCGCCTTCTTTGACGTGCGATTTTATTTATTTATTATTATTTTCCCCGGTTCGTTTCTCATTCCACAGAGGCCCGACAGGAGAACACATCTCCGCAACTATCTTGCGGGCTGTGCACGGTCCAATCTTGAATGTTTCAGCCACACTTTGTTGCGTGGCCCTACAAGGTAGTACTCGGAGTGTCAAGGCCAGTCTCTCCGTAGTGGAAATCTGTGTCCTGTGCGTTTTTGCATGTTTCACATATGGTGATACCCTTTTCAAGAGATCGTCAATCCATGCGGCGCACATTCTAAAGTATGAAAAATGCACTTTCTCATCTGTGCTCCGCATTTGCTGAATAAAAAGGGCAAACTCGCCATCATTCTTTCTGTTTTCGTTAAGTGGACGCACATACCACCTCATTTGTTCTTGTTCTATTTCTTTGCCATTGAATAGATCAATGCTACTGCCAGATGTTTACGAAACTGTTCTTCTCTCACAGCCGTCATCGTTGTTGTGTTTAGGGGGTACATGCGGGTGGCGTGACACATGTTTACAAACCCCGCCTCCAGCAGCGCGGGGGTGTCGGAATGTTCGAAAACAGTATACCGTCGCTTAGCCTTTTCAAACTTCTTTTTGCCCTCAAACGAAGAACGAAAAAGAACTTCGCTTGAAGTATATCGGGGCCTTAAGAAAGCAGATGCCTATGTAGGCTGTAGACAAGGCAGCTAACTAGGTTTTGGTAAAGATCCCAAAACACACATCTTTCTCAGGGTCACTTTGGGAAACAATGCTCAGAGATCCTGTAATCAGGAGCCACGGTCAACGCATTTTACACCTTCCAGCGTGTGGGAAAATAAGCGTTTATGAAACTTAGACGGACTGGAGGTGGGTGGAGGGGTTTGGCTCTGGGACAGGGTGGGGGTCACCTCCAGGGGTCTGGCTGCTGACCAAGCTGCTGCCGTAGCCCCGGGGCCAGCCAGGGGCCAGATGAGTCCTGCAGCCCCTCGAGGGCTCGGGGACACCGGCGGCATCTCCACGCGCCCCACACAGTCAGGACATCACCTCTAATACTGCAACTCACTAAATATGGATCGAGAGCTGATGGAGCTGTGAAGGTCGAAGCTGTGCTGCTGTAAAACGAAGGAAGAAGGTCCATGAACGAGGAAAGTATGGAGCAGAAAAGGAACCCGATTCAAAACATTTCACTATGAACAAAAGCCATGTCGGACAACCGAAATCAAAAACAACAGCAATGATATTTAATTCATAATCAAATAACTGATTTAAAATTATATTAAAATACAAAAATCCCAACAGGCAGTTTTTTTCCCCCTTAAAACTACAGCATAAGATACTACATCAGAAGTGACACAGTTCTCACAGCGCAGAGGAGACATTCCAGACACGTCTATTTTAAATCATAATTATGGCTCATTAGCCTAATTACTGATCACGGCAGCTCACCATCCAAAAACTAATGAATGTTTACAGATAAAAAAAAAACACTGTATTGATATGATAATAGAAGGCAGACACGCTGAAACTGTTAAACGCTTCGTCTTGGCATAATATTAAATAACATTTTGTAATATGATGACAACAAATTGTGGGAAACACTATATAATCAATGCTCTTTTCATAAGAATTTAAATTCCCGAATTCAAGACATTCAGCATTCAAAATTCATTTTCAGGCCAAGGAGCGGAAAATGGACATACATAATAAAAATAAAATACATAGGTATAGCATGACCTAGAAAAACACGGTAAATGTATTGACATATTTTCCTATGATGCTTACATTGCAAAAACAGATTGCATTTTAGTGTGGGACTGAACTTTAAAATGTAAGTGTATTTTATTATTAACTTTAAAATGCATATTTATATTTACTTCAGGAAAAATGAACAGTTGTAATATTTTTTTTGCAAAGTGAAATTGATAAACTGAATTAATTAATTTATCATTTTTGCCTGATTGATTGATTTAAAGCATATTATTTATAAATGAGTCAATGACACATTTATTTATTTATTTGATTGTTTGTTTGTTCGTTTGTTTGTTTAACATGTATGGGTGATAAATAAATAATGGATGCGTATTTATTTATCTCATTATTTATTTAACATGCATGAGTGTGAAATAAATAAATAAAGGAACAGTTATTTATTTATTATGCATGGGTGTGTGAAATAAATAAATAAATAAATAAATAAATAAAGGAACATTATTTATTTACTTATTATGCATGGGTGTAAAATAAACAAAATAAACAAACAAAAAGAAATAAATCATGTTTATTATCATATCTATCTAGCCATCTATCTATCCATTTATCTATCTATCTATCTATCTATCTATCTATCTATCTATCTATCTATTTACGTTTAGACTTGTTTTCACAAGTCAGTTCCACTGCATCCATCCCAGCATGATGTGCACTACAACTTCCTGAAAGCTGGGAGCACTAATTGATTTAACTAGGAGACTGTGAAGGACTTACCAATCTGTGGCGTTGCGATTGATGGAAATATAGCTAAGGTTCGGCTACTTATTTATTGACCACAGAGAGGGATGAGGGGTCACGATGAAAGAGGGGAGACCTTTTGGCCCCTTCTCTGATGCAATAGTTCGTTAATGGAGCCGGGGGCCGGGTGAAGGGGGGTCGGTCTCAGGACAGAGCAAGCAGAAAGCTTTTTATGATTACCTAGCCAGCGTTCATCCAGGTGCAGAATGAAACCTTGTATTACAATTCTGTTGCACTGTGTATTACTTACAGTTTCCTGGCTTTGAAGATCTCCGCAAACTCTCGGACGCTCCTCAAGGAAGCCAAATCCAGCGTCATGGCTTCAACACGGGCTTTGCGCTAGTGAAAGAGGAACAGAAAAATAGAAAGCAGTAGATATTATACCAGATGCATCCATCACTATCACACTGCTAACAAACTGAAAGCCAAAGCTCTAACTCACTGAACACTTCCCACCCAAACCCTCCACTATATCTCACAGACGCCATGAAAAACAACTCCATCTCCCGTTCCCTAAATCAGGGGCGCATTTCCAATAGGGAATGTTGCACATTGTGTGGCGGGAGAGCATCTCAATATCCTCTTTATGGCATTTTTATGACCCTGTATCCGATCTCTGCTGCGCGCATCCTGTGCTTACACTAAGTAACCGGTAAGGCAGTGGCTCCCTTCTTTCATAATGTCCATAATGGCATATAGAACAGGCCCGAGGAGATAAATAATGTATGAGCAAAGCCAAATCCACAATAATGGTCTCTCTCAGTGCTGGCTTTTAGGTGCACCTTTGATCATACCAGAACACGATCGATATTAAGGAAGACACATAAATCACTCCACAAAGGAAGGATCAGAGTCTGACTGGTCAGAGGTCAGCACAAGTCCTCCTGAGGTAAAGTCAGTGGGAAAGTATGAGGTTTTAGTTTACAGGCACACACAATAAATAAATAAATAAAACAATAAACAAACAAACAAACAAACATATATTTTTTGTTTTGTTTACTACTACTACTACTACTACTAGTAGTAGTAGTAGTAGTAGTAATATTATCATCATCATCATCATTATTTATTATTATTATTATGATTATTATGTTATTGTCATCCTCATCAGCATCATTATTATTATTACTATTATTATTGTCAACGTCATCATCATCATATTATTATTATTATTGTCATCATCATTATTATTATGCAGCTTTTTAATAGTTGATTGTGTATGCAAAAAACTTAATTTCCCTTACTGCACTGTGGCCACTCTTCTCGCATAATAAAATTTCAATGCAAATCAACATTTTATGTGAAATTATTAACACGTAATAAACTAGATAATGCAAAGCCAAGTATTAGTGTACAACAACTACAAAACTACAGAACAGATCACTTTTAGTTTACCTTATTTACTAGTAAGTTAATACAGCTAAATGCTGATAAAGAAAATTTCAGGTCTGTTTCATTGTCTATTCTCCGTGTTTCCTTCTCGCCACAAACAGCTGTTTGCTAACTTAGCAGGTTCCGCTAGCCCTGTACAGCATCTCTGATGAGGGATTTTTTGATGAATGACTGTATAAACTCTGCTCATATTACAGTGGGGTTAGGAGACATGGGGCAATTTAATTATGCCATGTACAGCACACCGCCAGGTTAACAGGAAAAGCACCCCATCAGCATTTCTCCTATCAACAGCACGTCCACGAACCACTTACAATTGCTAATCAGCCTCTGCACAATTAGTGCCGTAGACGATTCTAGATGGCTACTGTACTATAAAGACTTCAGAGCAATCATGTCTAGTCTTGTCATATGCCCTCGATTGCAAACTGCAAGATATACAATAACTGTTCAACATCACTTTTCATCAGATTATTACTGTCCAATGGGGCTTGACTAATACCCAGAGATGTTTGTTTCAGCGTTATCGTCAACAAAAATTAGGACACTTGGTTATTAAAGACCATCAACATAATATTAAAAAGGAAGTTGTGTTGACCCAAAAAAATGCCACAGCAGAATTACTGGCTTCCATCTAATTACTCCAATATAAAACACGCACATGATGCACAAGCATAATATGCGGCAAAATAAACTTTCATTAAAACAAAGGGAACGACAGAACGATAGGACGATGGGATGATAGAATGATAGAACGTTCGATAGAATGACAGACAGACAGACAGACAGACAGATAGATAGATAGATAGATAGATAGATAGATAGATAGATAGATAGATAGATAGATAGATAGATAGATACAAAACTTTAGACAGACAAACAGATAAACTGTTTTAATTAATTATTTAAAGTCATACACACATGCTTCAAACAGAAGAAAGAAGAACTTTTGACTTGGTCAAAAGCAACATACACATTTATATTATTTTAATTGTGAGGACATTTGGTCTCCAAATGTTAGGCAAAGACCACGACACACAGACACAGCTTTATTCATACAGACAGGCTTATTTGTCAGTTGTGCAACGCTCCTCCATCTAACAGATCTTATTTATCTAAATCAGGTTTAGCCTGTGGGCCTGCAGACCTTGACTGGGGCGCTGTGATTATGCGATAAGACTGAGACGTAGACAGCATAAGTCTACTCTGAAACAGCCACAAGGCACACATGAACAACAGAAACCAATGACAGTGCAAGCGGATAATTATTTCAGAAGGATCTGTCTGTGGATTACAGTCTCCATTCAATGTGATTTATCTCAGCGTTTCCCAAATGGCATGTCACGACCCAAAAATGGGCTGCATGCTTCTGACGGGTTGCAAAAACAATGGGATGTTAAAAGGGGTTCACTTCTGGCGAGGGTAAACAGTATTATAAATATGACTGATAGAAGGCAAACAGCGCAGTGTGCACACCTGAGGACTGCATTCTAGCGTACGCAACATATGAGTGTCCGGTTAGACTGATTGCTGGGAGATTGATGGACGGCAGTTGCGTGAGTTATTGCATGTCAGGCCTCGCTAGCCACGTTTGGCAGGTGTATGGCATGTGAAAACTGGAAAACAGGAAATAACAGCTGCTGGGAAACACAAGAGGACAGATGTGAAGACTGATGACTAAATGATTTGGACAGATATGAAACCAGAACAGGTAGGTTTGATGTGTGGTACTGTTGATTAACAGACTGTAAAAGTCTGACACAAGCCAAAGTCTGGTTCACTTCATAGCTTGTTCTGGCTAAGAACAGCCAATTTTGACATATATGTAATATATGTACAGGGATAAATGAAAATTTGCATTCTGAATTTGTCATTTTGGTCACAGTTTATTTTAAGGTCTAGTTCTTACTATTAATTAACTATTAACTATGACTTTTGCCTTAAAAAAACCCTCCTAATTACCGCTTATTTATAGTTAATAAGGTAGTTGTTAAGTTTTTGTATTGGGTAGGATTAAGGGTGTATAATATGATCATGCAGAATACAGTTGAGGTCAAAAGTTTACATCCCCCTTTCAGAATCTGCAAAATGTTAATTATTTTACCAACATAAGAGGAATCGTACAAAATGCATGTTATTGTTTATTTAGTACTGACCTGAATAAGATATTTCACATAAAAGAGGTTTACATATAGTCCACGAGAGAAAAAAAATTGCTGAATTTATAAAAATGACCTTGTTCAAAAGTTTACATCCCCTTGATTCTTAACACTGTGTTACCGAGGCCAGAAGAGCGTTGAGTTCAAATCAAGAATGAGACCAGAACAGGGTCGAGTCTGACTCAAGATGGAGAACAGAAGAGGTTTGAGTCCGAATCAAGACAAAACCAGAAGAGCTTTCTATGCTTTCCTTTGAGGTGAATGAAGTACACATGCACAACACGTCTCACCTCTGTCTTTTGGAGCAATAACATAATGATAAGAACAATTGTAGTCTGATTAACGTACACACACCAATTTCAGCACAATTTAATTATGTAGGTTTTGCAAAAAATGGACTGGAATCATTTGAGTCGAGCTGAAGGGTTTACATGACACTTTAAAAATACTAATTGCATTAGACCAACTGAAATCTAAATTTTAAATGCACCGATTACAATTAACTGCAGAGAAGTTGTAGCTTATTCAAATAATGCAGCAACAATCTCAACTAAAGTTTGCAGAGAAACACCCAAGAAATTAATAAAAAATTCTTGTGGTCAGAAATTCCATACATCCAAAATACTAACTACCAATTATTTCATTTAGATAATGTTGAAAAAGCTGAACAGACAGTTGTGCTCAAGGAAGTCTGGTACCTTACATCAGTGGTTCCAAACCACGTTCCTAACCATTTTGGAAAGCCAGTGGGGCCAGTGCCTCAGGGTCTAGGGCTGTCAGGGGCTTCCAAACTCTCAAAGCTACAGTGCCCGAGAGAGATTTCCCAAAGAATCTGAACACCAAGGTCTTTGGCACATACTAGGGAAGGACTACTAGGGCCCCTCTGTGCAATCAGCAAACCACTGGATGATTTTGTGAGGAAAAAGGCAAGAAAGCTTTGGGTAGGACTTCCACTTTCTAAAGATGTGGTCAACATTTACTTCTGTACAGCGAAATTCTGCAGAAAATCCAGTCATCTCAATAGGAATCCACACGATCTAGAATTTCGGGTGAGGGACACACAGATACATGTGCTCATGGACCTTACGGGACCATGATCCAGCTCTTCCCTCAACTCACCTGCTCTCTTTCGCTCACAAACAAATAAAGTATTAATAGCCCACTGCTATCCATTAACAGATGCATCTGAAGATACTTGCAGTACACTAACTGCAGTTAGAGTCCCTCGGGAGCAACCTGGGGTTAAGTGCGCTGCAAAAGAGCACAACAAGGGTTCTTACTAATTGTCCGGTTAGTAATTGTCCAGGTGGTCACCCCCACCTGACAGTGAGTCTGCAACATTTGCATAACCAGCCAGGAGTCTTAACCACTCTACTACAACCCTGTATGGTCGACTCTCCAGTCTGTGTAGAGCACAAGCAATCAACAGCAACGTCGCCCAGAGCCACACCCTGTCAAGGAAAAATTACCCAACATCCCCAAACACCATTCATCAATGTGGAACTGTGCTTGACGGGGACCTTGTCAAACTGCACAGCCCACAGTCACCTTCCACTACAGCACAGCTTAATCACGACACAAAAGTAAGCTCCCCCATAATTTGACGTGTATAATATTACACCGATAATGCCGTAAAGTCAACATGGAGTCAAATTTTACCCTCTTTACTTTCTTATTACACCTTAATGTGCTGGATTTACTGGTGTATGTTACTCAAGATATCTTTGTAGTCTTCCATTAAACTTTAATAACTTGCTCAAACCCTGATTTTCCAATCTGACACCATCA